TGGCCACATTCATCATAACTCTACACCGCTATATCTTTTGGCGGTGTGCACAAACTGTTGGGTTTCAAAGTGATGACCCGGGGCCCACCATGCATTATGATAACATACAAGTACCATTAGGCATGCCGAGGCTATTTTTTCATCCACCACAACAATAAGGCTAAGTTCCATTGGGAATGCCAAGGCCAATCTATGCTCCACCACCTCCCATCATTCAAGGCAATCAAGGTGCCCATGTTGCACCTCCAATTGCTAATCCTCCCCTTACTTTAAGAGATCACTATGTGCCTAATGAATACAATGCACCTACATGCATTCAATTGCCACTATTTAGAGTACACCACTATGAGATCAAACCACAAACCATTCAAATGCTTTCTAACTATCATGGACTTCCAAGTGAAGAACCTTATAAGCATTTGGATGAGTTTCTTGAAGTATGTTCCACCGTTAGATACACGGACATGCGGAAAGAGGTCTTAAGGCTTAAATTTTTTCCATTCACCCTTAAAGACAAGGCAAAATATTGGTTTAACAATCTTAGACCGTTTTCAATAAATTCTTGGGCAGAAATGCAATAAGAGTTCTTGAAGAAGTATTATCTGGTTTCTAAGACCATGAGAACCTCAATTCGAGAGTTTTGACATGGGGATGGGGAAACGTTCCATGAGGCATGGGAAAGATTCAATGAATTGCTTAGGAAGTGTCCACATCATGACATGCCCAAATGACAATTAGTTCAATATTTCTTTGAGAGCTTATCGGACAATTATAAGGGCATGGTTGATGCTTTCATGGATGGCTCTTACATTGATAGGCATGAGGATGACGTGTGGCGTCTTTATGAGAGCATGAGTGAGAATTCTTTGCATCGAACTTTATCTTCCAAGAATGGTAGGAATTCAGGTGGAAGGAAAAGTGTTGGCTTACATCAAGTTGACCATTCCAATTAAATAGCCACCGAGATGAAATCCTTATCTCAAAGGTTTAATCAATTCTTGATCAACCAAAACTCGGCAAATCAAGTATCTTCCATCCCTAACCATTCCTATCGTGCATCCAATGAGACTTGCATGACATGTTCAAGTGTTTTACATTCTACTTCCAATTGTCCCCATAGATATGTACAAAGTGAGCATCATGAACAAGTCAATGCAACTTTTGTTAATCAAGGGAACAATCCTTATGGCAATTATTATAATCCTAGTTAGAGGAATCACCCGAATTTCTCTTGGAAAAACCAAGGGGAAGGCTCAAACCCTCCCCAAGGTGGTTTCCAAGGGAAATATGTTCCACCTCCAATGCAAAACCAAGGTTCCCAAGGATATAGACCATTCCAATCACAAGGAAACCAATTCTCTAATTCTCATTTTCCTAATCAACAATCATATTCTCAAGGAAATGCTAGGAGTCCCGCTTTTGAAGAGAAAGTTTTGACCGTTCTAGGTACTCTAGAGGCGAATACTTAATTACTTCATTCCCATTCTTAATCCATTGCTAAGATAGAAACCCAAGTAGGGCAAATAACTAGTACTTTGAATGCTAGAGAGAAAGGGAAAATGCCTTTGAATGCCTCACAAAAGCAACAATGTGTTGTGGAGCCTCATTCCTCATCGAAAGGTCACACAATAGAGCATGTCAATGCAGTGACTACCTTGAGAAGTGGGAAGATTGTGGACAACTAAGTGGGTATGTCCAATGAAGAGAGTAAACCGGTGCAACCACAAGTTGACACCCGTCCCGTTTCTTATCCTATTCCTCCTTCATTGCATATGCATGATTTTTCAAATGAGAATACCTTGAAAAGTGATTTTAAAAAGAAAAATGTGCAACATGATTTCAAAAATTCTTGTATTGAAGAGACTTCAAAGAAAATTTCTGAAAAGGTTTTTGAGCCAAGAGCTCCATTCCCGGATGCCTTAAAAGGATCCATTTCAAATGACAAGCAAAAGGCCAAAACAAATGAAATTGTGGATGTGTTTAGGTAAGTGAAAGTTAATCTTCCACTTTTGGATGCAATTAAGCAAATTCTGGCTTATGCCAAGTTCTTAAAAGACTTATGCACCCAAAAGAGGAAGAACAAAAGCCAAGCACCTAGGAAAATGGTCTTAACCGAGCAAGTAAGCTCAATTTTGTAGCATAACACTCTTTCGAAGTTTAAGACCCCGGTTCACCTACCACTTCATGCATCATTGGAGATCATATTATTAATCGGGCTCTTCTTGGCTTAGGAGCAAGTGTTAATCTTCTTCCATACTCGGTATATGTCAAATTAGGCTTAGGAGACTTGAAACTGACGTCGGTGGTTTTACAACTTGCCGACCAATTCATCAAGAAGCCTAGGGGTATCATTGAGGACGTATTGATTAAGATTGATAAATTCTTCTTTCCCGTTGATTTCGTTGTCATTGATACGAAACCGGTCCCAAATCCTAAGAGCCAAATTCCTGTTATCCTTGGCCGTCCTTTCTTAACAACTGCAAATGCCAACATTAACTGTAGGATGGGGATAATAAAGATCTCATTTGGCCACATGAAGGTGAAGTTGAATATCTTCAGTCCAACCCCCAATTCATTTGACAAGCATGAAGAAGTTAATGTTGTGGAGAAATGTCATGACCATGAATTTGAAGGAATAGAGTCTTTGCTTGAAACCAAAATTCTAAAAAGCTCATCTTTAACCTTGAAACCAAAGAAAGTTATTTCAAAGTCTTGTTTTGAAAGGGCATGGAAGCCCAAAGATTGTTTTGACGAAGGACCGAAAACTTCTTTTGAGCTTAATCCAACAAGTTCCTTAAAGAACCATTTGTTGGGTGGAGTTCAAAACACTTATCACCCCATCAAGGAGGGGATGCACTACAAGATGTTTTATCCAGACTAAAAGAGCCCAACGTCGTACTAGAGACGTTAAAGACTAGTAAGACATTTTGTAGGGTGTCAAAACCCTATTCTTCCCCCATTTCTATCTTTAATTTCATTTCTTGCGAAGTCTAGATTTTGGCTTTGGGTTCATATGCATTGCTTGGAACTGTGATTAGGATTGCATGCACTTTTATGTTGAAATTGAGCATATTGCATAAGTTCGATCGATCTCAAAATGAGTTCGATTGATCGAACTTCCCACCTGCATCAAACCTGCATCCAAATCACTCTCTGTCCAATCGTTCGAACAAAACCTGCATATTTTAGCTCTCTGTCCCATCATTCAAACTTGTTCCTAGATTGATCTTTAGTTCTTCGATTGATTTAACTTTAGCTTGGATCGATCTGCAGTTCCAACACTTAGAAAAATTTTGAACCTGCATCCACCTACGTCCAAAAGCCTCTCTATCTCATCAATCGAACATTTCTTCAAACCTTTGCATTCTCGATCGATCGAAAGTATTCTAAGATCGATCTTGGCGAAATTGATCTTTGTTCTTTGATTTTCAATTTTGACTTTGTTTTAAATTCTTAATTTGAAAAATTCCAAAAAATAAAAAATAAAAAAATAAATATAAATAAATAAATATTTTTCAAAAATCCTAAAAATACTTTTACTTTTATTTATTTTTATTTTTCAAAAATTCCAAAAATATTTTGTCACTTAAGAGGAGAGATCGATGTCAGTTCGATCGATCTGAGGATTCAGTTCGATCAATCGAACTGGCAAGGAAATGTTTTTAAAAATCGATTTAGGGTTATTTGATCGATTTCACAAGAATCGATCTCAAACCCTCGTTTCACCCTTCGCTGCCGCATACAACTCTTCTCCATCTCCAGCGAAACTCCACCGACCATCCCGAGCGTCGAATCTCTCTCTCTCTCTTCTTGGATCTAGGATCTCATCTTCATTTCACCTTCTCCCTCGATTCCGGTAAGATCCGAGACATCATCTCTTCAATTCAAGCTCTAATTTCATGAATCCATGCTCTAAATATTAGATCTAAGGTGTTTTGAAGATGAATATTGCCATTAATGACATTTTGAAGCTTTATATATATGTGTATATATATGTATATATATATGTTTTATATTTTCTTGATTTTAATTTTGATTTTGGGGGTCACGGGCCGAATCAAGTGACCAATGTTGTTGATTTGTGGTGTAGATGGGCCCATGACCATGTTCGTGAAGGCCCCATGCCATCCACGTCAATGATCTGTGACTTTTCAAGTTTCACTTCACAGTTCGATCGATCGAACTTTTTATTCGATCGATCTGTTACAGATCGATCTCATTTATTCTCGATCGATCGAACTTGCATCGATCTCACATTTTTGTGATCGATCGAACTTCACATATATACTTCACACATTTCACACAACATCTCTTGTGTTTTATGCTGTCTCATACATGCCCAATGCCTGTGTTTTCGACATTGGACACATTCCATACTTATACTATCTATCATGTCTCACATCATGTCATTCATTCCTTGTCACTTACATAGATTCATGTTCCTTATCTATTTTGTCTATCCTATTTGACATACATGATTCTATCAACTGTGCTATAATTCTTTATACTGACACTAACTTCCTTTTTGTAAGTTTTCCTTTTATTTTTGCAGTCTGTGGCTAGGGCCAAGACTATAGCTCACGGACACTGTCACCGTAGGGCTAGGCAGAGTTTGGACGATGAGGCAGATTCATCTCATGCCCAGGACTCCATTCAGGAGGAGCTAGCAGAGCTCACTCCACCTCAGTCTCCAGTTGACAGTCGATTACAATCTTCAGCTGAGGCATCTTCTTCACAGGCTGACGCTGAGGCTGAGCACATACCATCTCCATCACCACCGCCAGTTCAGCCAGCCCAGCACTTAGACCGGCCATTACCTAGATACTCACGCTTTCGAGTGGCGCACAAGTCGATCTTTGATGTAGACTACTTCTCCCGGTCTGTTCTTACCAGAGCAGCGTATGATGATATAGACCGGAAGGGCATCTCAGCTATATTAGCCCCTATCACATACCTAGTGTACCCGAGGTTGGTCCGGATATTTTTCCAGAACCTTCGACCTGCCTCGAGTAACCTGGCAGAGCTGCGGACTACCATCGATGGCCACTCTATCAGTATCACGATGGACACTCTTTCCAGATCCTGCCGTTGTCCACAAGTCTGCCCTCCCGATCTCCAGGATACCTATCATACTCTATAGAGGCCGACATATGCAGACATGGCCGTTTTACTCACGGGTCACTATGCCGGTGGTGAGACCTTCGCCACCCAGACTTATCTGCTAGATGACCTGTGGTTCTTCGATTCGGTGCTATACCGAAATATTTTTATGTGTAACGACCCGAGTTTTTCAACCCGGTACGTCAGCGATGACCCAAAAATGGACCCGGTAGCGGATTCAAAATTCAAATGCAAAAGATAAACCAAGGTTTTAAGAGATAGGAATCACTCCTAAGACATAAATGTGACCTTTCATGAGATCACAGGACTTCAAGAGAGCAAAAGCGGAAACAAGGGTCAAAAAGGATAAAATTCGTTATCAAAGGGGCAAAATGGTCAATTCACAATTAAAGAGAGAAATTTGACTCTAAGCAATTCAAAAAGCTGAATACAACCTAATCTAGTCATTTTAAGACATTCCAAGAGGTTTTAAGAACATTGGCCAAGAATCCCGCAAATTGCCCTTTCCCGGTTGAAGTGAAAACTGACACTACTTAACTAAAACCTGAATAACTTCCACTGTGTTTAGAATCTGAGAATGGAATAGGTACCATTGGAAAGCTGACTCAAAATAATTGAGTTTAGGCTTAAGAATCACTACATTTGGATTAGAAACAAAGGAGATATGGCCATTTGAAGTTGGAACTTTAGTGCTGAAGCAAAACTGAAGAGCTGCGCAAATGAGGGCTATTTCAGTCGACTGAAATAGAAGTGGTGTGAGTTTTAGTCAACCAAAACTCATAGAATACTTTTTGAACAGTGGTTTTTGAGGGTTGCATGGTTTGGTAGGCCGAAATAGGCCATCGGTCGACTGAACTAGAGTTTCGGTCGACCGAAACTCCTCGAAAAGCTGCTGAATGACCTGTTATGAGCAAAATTTGTTAAGGCTTCACCCAAGCCTCAAACCCTAACATCAATGTGGTCTAAAAACATAATTTTAAACTATACAAACATGCTCACAAGTGTACATTATACATTGAAACATGTTACAATGGCCCATAGCCTTATTACACAACATTTACTAAATTTAACATGCCAAACCTCCGAAGTTGGTAAAAATACATTTTAAAGCAAAAGTTTGATACCAAGTGAATACAAGTATAAGAATAAACATGCTTGGCCCTTGGCCTCTTGTCATACATATCAAATATATAAAAGAGAGTGTGCTTATGTACACTTTACATGTTTAGAATCAAATATACACATTTTGACATATAAGGCTAAAATTAGCATTTCAAGCCAACCTACACAAGAATTGAACCCTTCAAGTCCTTAAACCATCCAAGCAATATAAGAATCTTGAACCATGATTCCTGTACCTGAAAAATGTTCCCACTACGTGGGTGAGTAACATAAAGCTCTTCGCAGGAGATGAGCATGCATCGACCTAGCATTTTACAATTATATCACCTTAAGGTGAAACATGTCAAAGGGGCTCATGCCACCTAACGTCTATGTCAAAGTGAGACTCAGGGATCATCCTAAGCTACTCATGCAATTGAATTGAACAACGACATACAAGTATACATGCTCAAGTGCACTAAACCGTATTAAAGCATGATACATGACATTCAAGTACACATGCTAACAAGTATACTAAATCATGTTAAACGGGATAAGCAATATCTAACATACATACACAAGTATAAGATATATGTATAGAGTACTCATAAATCTAGTATACAAACACAAGTATACTAAGCTAAACACGTACGCACAAGACAAGTATACATGGTACAAGTATACTAAAATGGAATCCGCACACACAAGACAAGCATACTAAGCATAAATACACTAGATAGAGTTTAGATACACCAACAAGGATACAAGTTCAAGTATACAATTTCAAGTATACTAATTGAGATCAAAATACATAAGCAGGCACCAATTCTCAAGCTACAAGTAATCCATGATTAACAACTTAAAATTGAATGCGAAATCAAAGTAGAAAGACTGGGACATGTGGTCACTAGACCGAGCAAGTGTTTCCGGGTAATTACGACCCACAAGGCACTACCTAGTGCACATATGCATAAGTTATTCCGGGTAATTACGACCCACAAAGTACTACCTAGTGCACACTTATGACTTAGAAGACTCTTGTCTCCGTACTAGAGCCAAACTCTAGCCATCACGTGAAATATGTCTTTACAAGCTTTCCAAGATCAATAAGTTCAAAACTTATATAAAAATCAATAAGTTAGACCAAACTTATACCAAATCCAATAATGCATAAAACCATCTTCCATGCATAAATAAGGTTGAATCCACACAAACCATGTCCTGGAATTCAAGTCTAGATAACATATGACATGTCAAGCCTCCAATATGCAATTTATACACCAAATAAGAATATTTTACAACAACTGAGTCACATTACCACACTAAGCCACAAGTACTACATAAGTCCCAATTTAGTAACTAGCTTCCAAGGTAAGCAATTGTAATATTCTAACAAGCTATACACCTACACAAGATATATCTAAATAAGCTATACAAGTCAATGATATTCTATATCATGCTAAGTCTAATTACCATTTCAAGATGCCTCAAGTACTAATTCTACATCAAATTAGTAACATACTCACAAGGCAATTAAACGGACTACATTTCAAGGAATTATCAACCTATTACATCCAATGTAAATATAAGTGACTAACACACTTAAGATAAACTTAATTAAGCTAATTAATTAATTTTTCTCTAGATTTTCAAATATATACAAATATCCTCAATTTAACATATGTTAAAGAACTCACCAAGGCCTACTTTAATATCACATTACAAGTTGATTTCATGCTTGATACAACTATGTGAATTAAACTTTCATTAAAGATAAATATTAAATAAGTTTTGCAATTCTTATCCAAATGCCCCAAATTTAATATATGTTACACAACTCACCAAGGCCTAATTTACTAGCATACCACAATTTCTAAACTATATACCATCATTAGAATTAAATCCTAAACAAAGAAAATAAATAAATTAAATTCTAAAAACTTGAACAAGGCATGCTCACAAATTGTATATGCTCATATAATAATCAATACAACATTAATATAAACCTAAGACATCCCCTACCTCAATTTGAGATGAAAATCTCAAAAGCCCACCGAAAAAAAAAGTGCTCCGAATTCGACGATACCGAAGGGTTTTGTCGGGGACAACACGATCTACATGAACCCACAAGAAGCCCCATCAAAATCACAACTTGACTTCAAACCTGAACTCAAGAAACGGTCAGAAATGAATTCTAATAAAGGGGAAAGGTAGAGCACGTCGAGGGGAACGATAAATGTTAAGGCCGAAGAGTTTCCACTAAGGAAATTAAGTGAAGGAGAAGAAAGAATAAAGGCAGCCCCTTGGGCTCCCATGGCTGCTGGCCAAGAGGGTGAAGAAGATGATGGAAATCTGACTTTTTGACTTAAGACCCCCTATTTATAGAAAATCTCAAAAAGTGCCCCGAAAGGGTCCCGCCGGGTCTGGAAAAGTGGATTTTGAGCAAACACGCTCAAACGGCAAAATTCCATGAACGAAAAAGATTCTAAATGTGAAAATATGAACAACAGAAGAAATAACGTCAAAAACTGAGTCCCGAGTAGAGAGTTATGCCCTGAACAAGTTTGGCGGCAACTAGGGCCAAAAACCCTAAAATTGGAGGAAAACGACCAGAAGGAAATTCTAAGAGTACACGACTTGACGAAATGTGAAAATGAATCCCGTATGAGGATCTAGGTTCCAGACGAGATATTTTGCAATAATTTTTGTTAATTACACATTGGCCCCTACAAAGAGGGTTAACTGCAAAACTGCCCTAGAATGAAAATATCTTTTGGAAGATATTTTCTTAGATACCCCTGAAATAAAATATCTTCAAAAGATATTTATGATTAACACCCCAAGAAAAGAAAAAGATTCTAAAAAACTATGCATCTATGCCCCTATGGACATCGGGAGTAACTAGAGTACTTATCTGCAAAAGTAAAGATACGTATTTCGTGTAACCCACTTAAGATGAAGATACGTGAAGTCAAAAACTAACTCCGAACACAAGGAGTGAGATTATGCCAACAAAGTGACAAACGGGAAAAAGAGAAAATAGGGAAGAGGACAAAACAGGGAAAAGGACGAAAAGTGAATAGTGTCGAAAAACAAAAAATGTGGAAATGACTCGGTTCTCAAAGGAAGTTGTCAATCCAAAGGAAAGAGTCTCAGAAACCATTTTTGAGCACTCGAGACGACACTAAGCGATGAGAAACTGAACTCAAAAAAGAAATTTCAACGAAAAAAATTCATCTATAAAATTCTGAGGAAAAAGGAAAGGAAGGAAATGACCGGGTCATTACATTATGGCCGGCCACAAGACACAGAGGCGTGGCGGCTATCTTACAGCTTTATACACCTTCTATACAGGGCACTGGCTGTCCATTCCTGCGCTCATCTGGAGCATTATGATGAAGCTGTATGTTGACCACATCAGCAAGGAAAAGCCCAAAAGGGCTAAGTATCTCCCATTTGGCCATCTCATCACACAGATTCTGAGAGACCAATGATATCCATTCTAGCCACAGAAGCGTACTGAGTCTGGGGCCTACTCATTCAAGAAGAAGGATTGGGATAAGAGCTATAACGCTCTTATCAAGAGTTTGCGGGACGATGCTGCCGAGGCAGCTGAGGAGTTAGAGTTAGAGGAGATGGAGCAAGCAGCGGCAGCAGCAGCAGCGCAGGCGGCAGACGATATACCAGTCGATCCACCCACCATGCACATGGATATTGACTTGGAGCAGCCTGCAGAGGACCAGGAGCATCACTCTCCGGCTGGGTCGCCTATTCATGATGAGAAGTAGGCTTAGGATCATCATTCTCCCGCTCCAGCGGTACCTGAGGCTCCAGCACAGACACCTAGCTTTGGAGAGTGACTCCAGGCTTTGGAGGATGCTGTAGTATCTATCCGCCCCAACATGGTCT